GGTCTGAGTTTGTTCTTGTAAAGTGTTTACCCAAGTGTGCACATTCTCTTAAATATTGACTAACTATTTTGGCAGCAGAGTGTGGTCTGTCTGATCATTTTACCAGCTGCAACAGTATAGGACCTTAAGGCCTGGTTTTACAGACAGGGCTTAGACTAAGCCAGGTTTAGGCCATAGTTCAATTTATTTTTCATAAACGTGCCTTAGAAAACACATTACTGGTGAGCATCTTGAGACAAAACAAAGGCACTGATATATTTTAAGATCAGTCAGTGCAAGTTTCTTTCAGTTGACACAGCTCAGACTAACATTTTAGTCTGGGACTAGGCTTAAGCCTTGTCTGTGAAACCGGGGGGTAAATGTTCACCATATTGCAGCTCAAATCACAACATTTAACAAAATAATACCTAAAAGTATTTGTTCATTAACTCATTTTGGTTCACAAAATGTGGAAAGTCAGCATTCTGGCTTTCATACAATGCCAGTTAAAAGTGTATTAGTGCTAAAGTAAAATTAAATATAATTTTCCTGTGGCTCAGTGGTAGAGCATCGCGTTAGCAGCGCAAAAGGTTCGGTCCCAGGGAACACACATACCGGTAAAAAATGTATAGTCTGAATTTGGATAAAAGCGTCTGCTAAATGCATTAATTTAATTTTAATTTAAACTAAAATTCTAATTTAAAAAATTTGTTTATTAATTTTTAATAATTAACAATTTTCAAATGTAAAAAAAAAATTATCTAATATAAAAATGACCCTTTTTGAAATAGAAACTCACCCTGTACCATATAATAATAACCCAGCTAATTTTAGATGCTTCACTGTATAATGCCTTGTCTGTATTTACAGGAGCTGGTGTTTACCAAGAGCACCCTGGAATGGACAAACTGAGACCTGTAGAAGAGAGTCTTGCACACAGCTGTACATCTAAAAATGTTGCCTCTGTTGGAACACAGTGGGAAGACCACATCTTCGAGGAGCATTGTTACATCAAGAGATAACACATTGTAACTTATGTAAACCAGTCAATGCAGTGCGATACATTCAAGCCTCCTACTCTGATGAACGACTATGACTCAAATCTGTACACCGGGCTCCCTCTCCACACATTTCATACCCTTGTAGCTGTTTTGCGTCCCCATGAGAATCTGGCTTACCAGACCGAAATTGAACAGCAAATCTTGCTCACACTAATGAAGCTGAAATTAAACCTATTAATAGAAGATCTAGCAATTCGATTCCGTATATCAGTGAGTAAAGTGAGCAGGATAATTTCTTTTTGGATTGACACCATGGCTGCAGTCTTGAAGGATCTGATACCATGGCTCCCCAAAGAAACCATCAGGGCCACAACACCAGAGGCATACAAGCAACATTATCCCAATGTTACCTGTATCTTAGACTGCAGTGAAAGTGAAGTCCAAAGACCAGGGAACCTAGACTCAAGGTCTGAATCGTACAGCCACTACTATGCTTGCAACACTATCAAGTATTTAGTGGCTATTGCACCATGTGGTCTAGTAATGTTTATATCTGCAGCATATGGGGGACGCTGTAGTGACAAATTTATCACATGTGATTCTGGCATTCTTGAATATCTCCATCCAGGAGATGAAGTGATGGTGGACAGGGGTTTTTTGATTAGAGACTTGTTGTTTGAAAGACAAGTCAATATGATAATTCCTCACTTCGCCAACAAAACGCAGCTGACAGAAGAAAAAGTCACATGTAGCCGCAGGATTGCAAATGTAAGGATACATGTTGAACGTGCAATTAGGAGACTGAAAGTATACAAGGTGTTATCACAAACCTTGCCTATCACCCTTATGGCAAAGATAGATCAAATTCTGCATATATGTGCAGCTTTAGTGAATTTGCGTGGTGATCTGATCTGTGAAGCAGATAATTAAGTTATTTTAAAAATGAAATTTTGTCTTCAGTTACTCACCCTCATGTTGGTCCAACCTTGTAGCTGTTTTGCGTCCCCATGAGAATCTGGCTTACCAGACCGAAATTGAACAGCAAATCTTGCTCACACTAATGAAGCTGAAATTAAACCTATTAATAGAAGATCTAGCAATTCGATTCCATATATCAGTGAGTAAAGTGAGCAGGATCATTTCTTTTTGGATTGACACCATGGCTGCAGTCTTGAGGGATCTGATACCATGGCTCCCCAAAGAAACAATCAGGGCCACAACACCAGAGGTATACAAGCAACATTATCCCAATGTTACCTGTATCTTAGACTGCAGTGAAAGTGAAGTCCAAAGACCAGGGACCCTAGACTCAAGGTCTGAATTGTACTGAATCGTACAGCCACTACTATGCTTGCAACACTATCAAGTATTTAGTGGCTATTGCACCATGTGGTCTAGTAATGTTTATATCTGCAGCATATGGGGGACGCTGTAGTGACAAATTTATCACATGTGATTCTGGCATTCTTGAATATCTCCATCCAGGAGATGAAGTGATGGTGGACAGGGGTTTTTTGATTAGAGACTTGTTGTTTGAAAGACAAGTCAATATGATAATTCCTCACTTCGCCAACAAAACGCAGCTGACAGAAGAAAAAGTCACATGTAGCCGCAGGATTGCAAATGTAAGGATACATGTTGAATGTGCAATTAGGAGACTGAAAGTATAC